CCCCCTGGCTTTGCTTTCATACTGGCAGTGTAATTGAGGCTGCTCCTGCTTCTTGCCGGCTCTGGGAGGGGGGAATTGCATCCAGAGGCAGCGTGTGGTGCGGCACGGGAGCCATGGCGGATTCAATCGGCGGTTAACTAAATGTGCACCTGCTGAGGAGCTGCTCCAGCGGGGCCTGCGGGGGCTGGACAGGGGCCAAGGCCTCCAGACAGCTCGGGTTTTGATCCCCTGGAAATCGTGGAATGTTTCCCAGGAGGCTTAAAACACCTTTCAGCCCAGAGAGCTTGTGGATCCCCCCCCCCATTCCTGGAGTGTCCAAGGCCAGGTTGGATGGGTCTTGGAGCAACCTGGAATAGTGGAAGGTGGCTCTGACAGTAGGGGGTGGGACTGGATGGGCTTTAAGGTCAATTTGTCAAATACAGGTTACACCCCCAGCTGGGTTTTTCCTACTCAAACTAAGAGAGAGTAGGATTAGATGGGATATTGGGAAGGAATTCCTCGCTGGGAGGGTGGGCAGACCCTGGCACGGGTTGCCCCAGAGAAGCTGTGGCTGCCCCTGGATCCCTGGAAGTGTCCCAGGCCAGGATGGAGCAAGCTGGGCTGGTGGAAGGTGGGATGATCCCCCCATGGCAGGGATGGGCACTGGATGTGCTTTAAAATCCCTTCCATCCCAAACCATCCCACGGCCCCCCCGTGCTCCGTGGTGATTCTCCAGCCAGCCTTTCAGCACGTCCAGAGCGTGGGGCCACGAGGGGTGGGTGTGGACGTGGGGGACAAAGTGTCACCTGAGCCAGAGCAGGGCAGGGAGGGAGCAGGGGAGGTTTGGGGAGGGAGCAGGGGAGGTTTGGGGAGGGGGCAGGGGAGGGGGGTTTGCTGGGAGGAGCAGGGGCTGGTTCAGGAGGAGCAGGGGATGGTTCAGGAGGAGAAGGGGTTTGTTCAGGAGGAGCAGGGGATGGTTGAGGAGGAGCAGGGGTTGGTTTAGGAGGGAGCAGGGGTTGGTTCAGGAGGAGCAGGAGTTGGTTCAGGAGGAGCAGGGTTTGTTCAAGAGGAGCAGGGGATGGTTGAGGAGGAGCAGGGGATGGTTCAGGAGGAGAAGGGGTTTGTTCAGGAGGAGAAGGGGCTGGTTCAGGAGGAGCAGGGTTTGTTCAGGAGGAGCAGGGACTGGTGTTCTGGGAGGAGCAGGGGCTGGTGATCTGGGAGGAGCAGGCGTGCCGGGCCGGGGCAGCGGAGCGTTTCTAACCCTCTCCCTCCGAGGTGCAGTTGCTCACGTCCCTCCGGAGCGCAGCGAATGGAGGGGTCCTGGCCGGGGAAGGGGGGGCTGAAAGGTGGGCAGGGATCCAGTTACACAATTGCCCTCGCAGCATTCCCAGCCGGGGAGCAGCTGAGCAGAGAGCTGGGGAGGGAGGAGGAGTTATCGACTTTGGGTCCCCTCCCTTCTCTTTTGCTTCTTTTCTTCTCCCCCTCTATTATTTTTTTTTTTTATTGGGGTTGGATAAAAATCTTAACACCTTGGGAATAGCCTAACAGTGGTACAATAGCCTGGGCTGTGCAATTTAATAGGGTCTCCTGAATGGGAATGGAAAGAAGGGGATGATTCTCTCCGGGCTAACAGTGCCTTTCTTTTTTCTCTTTCCACGAATCAGCCAGGAAAAAAAAAAAAAAAAAAAAGCCTTCAGCGTTTAACCTGTAAGGGAAGGGAAAAGTTCTTCCAGCAGCTTATACTGAGCTTTTAGTCACAAACAGCGAAATTTCTTATTTTTATTTTTTGGGTTTGAGGTTTTTTTCCTCACCTGAGGAACTACTCTGAGGGACTACCTGAGAGCAGGAGCAAGGAAGATTTGGGGGGAAAACCTTACCCCATAATGCCTGTTCTTGTATCCCTAAACAGTCTTAAAGAATGGGCAAACCATGACCTTTGGGCAGTCCTGATCCCTGTGCTGGTTATTTCTTTTCCCCTTTAAAATCAGGTACAGGAGAGAAGCCAAACTCCTCTGGCATCCAGCTCCTACAGCGAGGGCAGGAGGGAAGTTTCTGGGGTATTTTACAGCCCTCGTTTCCTTCAGGATGCAAAATAAATAATTCAAGTACGCTCTGGAACCAAAAGACTCTGATGTCTCAGGCAGAAATTTGCTTGTTCAAGGCTCCTGCCAAATTTGACAGCGACGCAGCGTGAGCTCCTGCACTCCTGAAATAATTTTAAAGTCGCTGTTTCAGAGCAGTAATAAAAGTTCTGCCTCCACGGGGTCTTTTTTAGAGGTCCAATAAAGTTTCTCCTGGTGTTCTCCCATTTCCCTGTGTCCTGATCCAGTGTATCCCACAGTGCCATGTCACCAACCTCAGCCTCATCTTGCAGCTGATCTGTTTGTAATTAAAACCTGCAGCAGGTACAGCTCCTAAATAGGGCCCTAAAGGAGTGAATCAGCCCTGGAATAACGATGGAAAGAATAGGGAATGCCCTGGAATAATTGGACTATCTGCTTGCCCCTGATTTTTTTCCCTGCACTTGCACTCCCAGCTGGGTTGCATACGTGCTCAGAGGGCCAGGACAACCTGTTTTGCTTTGCAAAACTCCTCGCAGTTCAGCTGGAAACATTAAAAAAGACAAGGAGGAATGTTCACCTTGGGGGTGAAGGGGTGGAGGAATCAGGCTCTCGGAGTTTGCAATTCAATTGTGTGGAAAATGCAACGCTTCCCCTCCAAATAGGACTTGGATGGAGCCGTGATTCATCCCCCATTGAAGTCCATGCCAGAGTTGCTTTTTGATTTAATCACAATCAAACCCTGTGGGATTATTCTCACTTGCAAACTGGACTGGATCTATTAAGTAGAGAAACCACAACTCTTTGCGGGGCTGCTGCTGTTGCTGCTTTTTCTTTAATTTCTTTTTTTTTTTTTTTAATTGTTATTCTTTTTCTTTTTCATTTAATGAATTTGGCTCCGTGTCACAAAGCGGAGCCGAAACCCGAAACCCTCCTGTCTCCCAAGCTTTCTGACTGTTCTTGGAACATCTGGCACAGCTGTTATTTTGACCCCAAGGCAGGAGCACAACCTCGCTCCTGTTCCTATTCCACTGGAAGCCGACATCCAACGTGCCAGTGGGAATTGGGGCTGCCCGAGCTGAGCTGGGATGGGAGCTCGGGGATGGGGCAGGATCCAGCAGTGATCCCGTTTTCCAAGGGGGGGAAAAAAAAAAAGAGACACAGCTCTTGGAGCTCCATGAAGAGCCTCCTCCTGCTTCTCTTCACATCCTTCCTTGTGGACATAGAAATGGAGCTGCCCATAAAGCTGATCGAATTCCCAGGGGTTTCGCACCTTCCCCTCGACAAAGTTTGCAGAATCGGTTCACCACATGGAATTTCTGTACGTGGATGGATCCGTGGATCTCTTCAAGCTGGGTTTCCCTGCCTGGCACCACGGGCAGGAACATTTTTCCTTCCCAAAGGAGATCCTGGGGAGAGCAGAGTGAGACCCAAACGTGCTCAAGCTCCAATGTCCCCCCCCCCCGCCCCCAATCAGCAATACCTGATATCTAAACCTTTTTGGCTTATTCTAAGCTGCAGGAACTTGTAACTTTTTACCTGTAAATCTTCCTCCACGCACCTTCCCGACTTCCTTTCGGCTCTGAGGTTTAATACCCCTGCTTGCACTTTCATCCCTTAAACACTCAGAGCTTTAAATTGTCTCTGGGATACAGGATAATCAGTTAATCCTCATTACGTGCCCATTAAAATGAAGATTAAATCAGGCATTAGGGTGCCTCCTCCCGTTATGAAATCTGAAAAACAGGCTTGAATTGGAGTGGGTTTGGGGGCTGGGGGGGGGGGGGGAAGGGAGAAGGGGAAAGGAAAGCAACAAACACCTAAAAAAATCGTTCCTTGGGCTTCACCGGGAAGGAATAAAAGCGAGAGTGAGGTGTGAATACACGATTTCATTCACGCAGGTGAGGGGGGAGATAAGGAGGCAGCACCCGAGGAATCAGGTTTTGGGCAGGGAGGAGGAGGAGGAGGAGGAGGAGGAGGAGGAGGGGGGGGGTATTTGCATGTGCCTACGTGAGGTGCAGAGTGTGAGTCCGCGGGCTCAGCTCTGCACACACGTGCTCTGGCAGCGGCCAAGGTGATGCCTCC